CTGAAAGTGTAACCAATTAATTAACATTAAACTAAGTGTATCATGTGAATTTAAAAGTTCATTCTATTATATTACAGGGGTGATTGCTTACCTAACTGCACTTCTATGTTAGATTTAAATTTATGTACCATAGACACTCGATATGATCTATATTGATATCCTGCTAAGAACGATGGCCCGCTCAGCTCCAACTCTTCCATTTCTTCATTGGCAATCAAATCACCACGTAAACCTAATAAAGAAAACAAACTATCTATGAACACAAACTACACCTTGGCTTCATACATGCATCCATCTATTCATAATAAGTGCCACCCACACCCATTACAACAACCAAACATTGTATATGTGATGATACCCTATCACACCAGATATTGTCTAATTACTGTCACCCTATCATACCAAATATTGTCTAAATACTGACACCCTACCACATCTAATATTGTCTTATTGACACCCTAGCATACACAACTGTCTACTTACTGACACCCTATCAAACTAAATATTGTCTAATTACTGACACCCTATCATACCAAATATTGTCTACTTACTGACACCCTATCATACTAAATATTGTCTAATTACTGACATCCTACCACATCTAATATTGTCTTATTGACACCCTAGCATACATAATTGTCTACTTACTGACACCCTATCATACTAAATATTGTCTAATTACTGACACCCTATCATACCAAATATTGCCTAATTACTGACACCCTAACATATCTAATATTGTCTTATTGACACCCTAGCATACATAGTAATGTCTACTGACACCCTATCATACTAAATATTGACTAATTACTGACACCCTAACATATCTAATATTGTCTTATTGACACCCTAGCATACATAATTGTCTACTTACTGACACCCTATCACACTAAATATTGTCTAATTACTGACACCCTATCATACCAATTATTGTCTAATTACTGACACCCTAACATATCTAATATTGTCTTATTGACACCCTAGCATACATAATATTGTCTACTCACTGACACCCTATCATACTAAATATTGTCTAATTACTGACACACTAACATATCTAATAATGTCTTGACACCCTAGCATACATAATTGTCTACTTACTGACACCCTATCATACTAAATATTGTCTAATTACTGACACACTAACATATTTAATAATGTCTTATTGACACCCTAGCATACATAACATTGTCTACTCACTGACACCCTATCATACTAAATATTGTCTAATTACTGACACACTAACATATCTAATAATGTCTTATTGACACCCTAGCATACATAATTGTCTACTTACTGACACCCTATCATACTAAATATTGTCTAATTACTGACACACTAACATATTTAATAATGTCTTATTGACACCCTAGCATACATAACATTGTCTACTTACTGACACCCTATCATACTAAATATTGTCTAATTACTGACACACTAACATATTTAATAATGTCTTATTGACACCCTAGCATACATAACATTGTCTACTTACTGACACCCTATCATACTAAATATTGTCTAATTACTGACACACTAACATATCTAATGTCTTATTGACACCCTAGCATACATAACATTGTCTA